ACACCTGTATACCTGGATATTTTCAGTGAGGAGACGTAAGGGAATTACATAATCATATTCCCTGCCAGAATGAAGAGAGATCGAAGGAGAGGGGGGGGGGAGGGAGAAAGGGGAGATAAAGGAGAATATGAATGAGAATTAAATAGTGGATAAGGAACGAGAAAACACGCGTATGCATAATTTCAATTATGAGACTCGGCGATATTCAAAATTATGCGCATGCGTGTCTTCTCATATATTTTCAACGTATTTCACATGCGGATATTCATACAACAACCAATGACGTACACCATTGAATATTCGTAATGGATATACATTAATTATAATTTTTCTGTAATCGCCTTTTATGCATAAATCGCGTTTCAGCATTTCCCGTCGCGGATAAAACAACTGCTTCCACCATCGTTTATCGAGATTATAGATATATATATTGGTAACTAATGTACATGTCGACATAACGCGCGACAACGTTCGCGCCACGTCGGCACGACGAATAAATTTCACACGAGAACTCGATGGTATCTCCGAATGTTCGCAGGAACATCGAAATTTGACGCTTATGTATTACGTCAAGGTCAGTTCGTCAAGATCAATTCTCGATCTATAAAAGAATGATCCTGTCGGCAATCACCTGCTCCATGTGCGCGGTCATACGTGACGACAGGTATTGCACCTGTAATACACCTGCATCCGATCGCCCCATTAGGAAGAAATTTATCGCTCCGCCCCGATTATCGAAAATTTATCTATATATTAGACCGGAATTGTAATGTAAGATTTATTATCAATATAAATCGGACGATATATATCACTTGTTTAATTATATTTTTGCATACGTGATATGATTATACTGTTCGTTGATATCAACGATTAATCTTTATATTAACGTGACTATTATTAGACTGCAATTAACAACCTGCCGTTTTAATAATAATCATTTTAAAGAGAGGATAGAGATGTTACAAACGCAGAAATATATTGTATATATCTATAATCTATAATGTTTATCTATAATGTATATCTATAATCTCGATAAATGGTATATTGTTCAGAAAAGAAAAGGATAGAATAAGTATAGAATAAGAGCAGTGGCAAAATAATATCAGGCAAAATTCTCATGAACTGATTCATCAATTATCAATCATTACGTGTATCGTGGATAAGTAGGATTTACGGTGACAACGGTAATTCGTCAGTGGCTAAAGATAGAAAAAGTAGACAGGAAATGAGGGCGAGTTCGTACTCTGAGTTTTATTTAATTGTTATTTACACCAGACGATCACGCGATCATGGGAGACGCCATTTAACGACGATAAGTACAAGTCTTGGGGGAGATCGTAGGCAGAGAATGTAAGGGTGTACGACGATTTAGAGGACTAATTCGCGACAATTATCACCGCATTGAATTATGGCGTCAAGTCACGCGGGGACTACTTCCACATTCATCGTTCCGTCTGATATTAAAATGCACGTATGAAAAAGAAAGAGTTCTACTTTTTTCACAGTCACGAAAGTAGATAATACGAACTGATTAATATACGCTTTGCGCGATTGCGATAAATAAAACGAGTACATTCTCTAAATAAAATAGAATATCAATCTTACCCACTTTCCAAACTGTAGTACAAATTATGAAAAAATTTCATACAGCGTGTATAAATTAAATTTTCATGGACATCTCTTGTCGACGACATTACGTATAGTTAATTCTATAATTTATTTTCAACAAATTCCTTGCTTTATTCGCTTCAAACATGTTTCTTTTTTTTTAAACTTGTCTTTACTATTTATCAACAAATCTTGTATGATACATGAGGAAGCTTACGTAAAAGAGACCAAGGCGTCCATAAAGTCGTGCGCGTGAGCATCCTATCAGTACGGAAATATCGACTTTATAACATATAGCCGTTCAACCCGTTAAAAGAACATCGTCATGCGCTTCGGCGGGCTAAATTCGAGACGGTCCGTACATTATGGAGATATGCGTTTATATTATATCTAT